CCTCTCAGCCAATGCTTGTGTATGACACTTTAAAAACCTTCAGTTATCCTTTTGTCTTATTTTAAATGATTAATGTTAATAGGGTTTATTTTTAGAATAGTATGGTTATGCTTATATATTTTTACTTTACACAAGCATTCTAATACAGTTATTTACCCTTTAAAACAATCATAGAATCTTAGAAGACATCTGAGATCCAGCTATCTCCTAGGACAAGAATGCTTTTGTTAGCAGCCTAGAGAGGTGATCATGAAGCATTTGTATATAAGAAAGAAGGAAACTAACATTAATGACTGCCCATTATGTACAGTACCAAGTTACCTATATATTTAGCCACATTTATCAAATAAATGAAATTTCTCATGCATGATTGCTTTGAATTATATCTTAATTTAAAACAATTTATATACAGCAAACCAGTCATTGTTGCAATGCCTCTAATCCTAATGACTTGGGAGGCTGAGGCAGGAGGATTGTGAATTCAAAGCCAGCCTCAGCAACTTGCAGAGGCCCTAAACAACTTACCAAAACCTTGTCTCAAAAAAAAATAATAATAAAAAGGTCTGGGAATGTGGCTCAGTGGTTTTTAAGCACCCTTAGGTTAAATACCTGGTACAAAAAAATTTACATACAGTATAATTTACCCTTTTTAATGTACAGTTCAAATTTTGACAAATGTATATAGTTGTAATTATCACCACAAGTAAGACATAGAAGAGTTCCAAGCACAATTGCTATTTAAAGGTCAATTCATGAACAAGTATTTATTGGCATCTAGTAGTCACTTATTAGTCTTTGGGGATAAGCATGTGAGTGTGAAAAGGCAGAAATAAAAGGTATTATGCCCATCTCCAAAGAGCTTCCATGATGTAATCACTGATACAGCTTCATACACATGAACCAGGCAAGTGAGGGAAGAAAACAAATAAGCAATCTACTAGGCAATAATCTCCATGAGATGTGGATTCTAGTCATGACATTACCATCATGTGACCTTGAGTAAGTCATTTATTATTTCTCACCTGGGTGGGCATTGCTAATGCAATAACTGGAAGGGATCATTCCAAACAATCTCTAAGGTTCATGGTAATTATAAACACATGTGATTCAGGTAGTGAGAGTTCAGAGTGATGATGGACAATTGGGAGGCTGGAAACGGCTTTTACAACATTGAGGAAGTCAATGGATTGACTCCACAGGGTTAGTGAATCAGGTTAAGTAGGAGGGATACAACATGGACCTGACAGAGGGGTATGAACTGTCATGGGGCTATGATGGGGGCAAATGCATAAATGTTAATCCAATTGAACAAAGAAGAACTGCAAGGTGTTATGGAAAAATCTAATGAGGTCAAGCTTTGAATTGTTGTGAGAGGGAGGGAGAGACATGAGAATTGAGAAGCTTGGTTGTCTCTCAAGCAAAGTCAGGAGTGACACCACAATGACAGTGATCCACAACAATCTTTTACTGAAAACTTGCTGTGTGCATGCCCTCTCTGAGCCTGTGGATATGAGAGTACAAACCCTGACCTTTTAGTTATTTATTGATCTTTAAATCACCCCCAAATTTAGTGGCTTAAAATAGCAACCATTTTATTTGCTTATAATTCTGTGGGTAGCAATTTGGGCTAGAATCAGCTGGGTGGGTGTTCTATTCATCTTTCCTAGCATCCGTCATGCAGTGACAGTCATGTTACAATGTGAATGGGGCTAAATGATCTGAGATGGTCTTAGTCACATGTCTGATGGTTGACTGTTGACTGAGCCTCTCTTCACATCATCTCTTTTGCTAGCCAGGCCTAGTTGCTTCAGGGTTCCCAGGGAGCAAGAGGGAAGCTATAAGACTTTAGACCTAAGCTCAGAAGTCACCCATAGTAACTCACACTGCATTTTGTTGGCCAAATGAAAACATGAGAACATCCCAGATTCAAAGAGTAGAGAAACAGATTCCCTCCCCCCCCCCTCTCTCTTTGTATCGAGGATTGAACTCAGGGGCACTTAACCCACTAAGCCACATCCCCAGCTCTTTTTAAAAAATATTTTTATCCATTGTTGATGGATCTTTATTTATTTATTTATATGCAGTGCTGAGGATCGAACCCAGTGCCTCCCACATGCTAGGCAAGTGCTCTACCACTGAGCTACAACCCCAGCTCCCAGCCATTTTTTTGTATTTTATTTAGAGACAGGGGCTCACTGAGTTTCTTAGCACCTCACTAAGTTGCTGAGGCTGGCTTGGAACTCGCAATCCTCTTGCCTTAGCCTCCCAAGCCACTGGGATTACAGGCATGCGCCACCATGCCCATCTCCATCTCTTGATAGGAGCTGCAAAGTCACACTGCAAAAAGTTGTGCTACAAAAATTAAACAACATTGTGGCCAATTACAAACAACATTACTCTTATCACACCATCCCATTTGGGTAAATGAGTATTGAGTAAATTTCGTACTGTGGAGCTTCAGGGGTGTTTGGAATCACTGAGGTGAAAAAGATGAGCTTTTGAGGAACATCCAGGATGGAACAAACCCAGAGGAATGTGGAGAACACTAGACAGAGGTGGTACAGAGGAGCATGATGACTCATGATATGTTTAGACTTTAGAGAATGCACATTTGGATGGAGTGAGTAGAAAAGAGGATTTGAGAAATAATAGGTAATGATGGTAGAAAGATTATAATTGGGTGTGTGGGGACTTTCACTACCAGGCTCTCAGAAGTAGGGATACTACAGTAATGTGCAGGGAGCAGTTAGAGTTTGGTGGTAGCTAGTGGCAGGGGTGGTAATAGGAGTATATGGAAGAGGAGAGGACTTTAGAGACTGCATCTTTATGGACAATAGTATGAAAGGAAGTTGAATTATAACTGGAGTGTGGTGGTACTGAGATCACTGCTAGACAGTCTTCCTAAAGGCAAGTACCTACATGGATTTTCCTTAAGGGACTAAAGAACAGAACTGGAGCCCTATAGGTTCATTTATTTAGTATCATGAAAAGTTTCTTCTAGATTTAAGTTAGTTATCTTAGAAAGAGCTAAATTTGGGCTTATAACATGGATAAACACATTCCTACCTCTCCTGTGTAAGATGAGACAAGCAGGATATTGTTGTTTACAGTCAAAGGTTTGTCTATATTTGAAAAAACAAAATTCCTGATGTTCTTTAACATTTTAAGTGGATAAGGAATCACATTGGGAAAGCTAGAAACCATGATGGAGCCAGGGTAAAGTTGCTTGCAATCTACTGTGAAGTCACACTGCTCAGGTAGACCATATAGCTATATTTTTCACAGTGGCAACATGGCAAAGCAATAGTTTTCTTTTTGACAGTCTGCCAAATGCATATTTCTTTTCCAACTGTTTTTCTCCCCATAGGACTTATGTGGCCATTAGAACACATTACATGTAATTTTTCACACAACATAAAAAATATTGTTTGGTTTGTTAATTAAATAGTAGGCAGTGGATCAAATCCAGTATGTGCAACGAGGAACCTATACATCCTTCTTTTCTTATCAGTTCAGTTTTGTAATGTTTGCTCATTAATTGAATAGTATGCAGCAATTCTCCTTCATGTATTTGTGGGAGATAAGATGTAGAGAACTTGAGGGTTCTTACAACTCTGCAAGTGGCAGTTTAGTCATATAACTACAAATCATTTGTGTATGAAATTGCTCAGAGTAAGGAAATATGGCATTAGGTATCAAAGTGAATAGATAAGACAGGATTTGCTGGACATGGTGATGCATGCCTGTAATCCTAGCAACTTGTGAGGCTGAGGCAAGAGGATTCCAAATTTGAGGCCAGCCTTGGCAACTTGGCAAGTCCCTGTCTCAAAATAAAAAAAAAAAATACAAAAATCTGGAGATACAGTTCAGTGGTAAACCATTCCTGGGTTCAACCCCTAAGCACCAAAAGTAAAGAAAGGACAGGATTTAATGGAGGAATATGGAGTAAAGGATGGAGCCCAAAACAGTGGTGTTTGGGACAGGGGAAGGGAGGGTCTCTTGCTGAAATAGAATTTGCAGAACTGAAGAACTGGCACAGGCAGGATTGGTGGGACAAAGAGGGAAGGATGTTTCTGTTGTGAAGAAAGGTTTCAGGTGAATGTAAATGTTGGAATGTCAGTGGTGCAGAGAAGAAGCCATAAGGAAACAGTTGAAGTGGGAAAAGACTGTGACTAAAGAATTAGCACAAGCCAAGTTTGGTGGCACATGCCTGTAGTCCCAATTGGCTCAAGAGGATCTTGAGTTCAAAGCCAGCCTTAGCAGTGATGCCCTAGGCTAGTGGTTAAGTAGCCCTGGGTTCAATCCCCGGTACCAAAAGGGAAAAAAATAAAGAACTAGCACAAAGGAGTGTTTGGGGGTAATGGAACTGTCTGTACATTGATTGTAGTGATGGCTACTCTGATCTATCTATGTGTTAAAAAACACAGAACCACAAAATTCCAATTTACTGTATATTTTTTTAAAAAGTCAATAGGTCATTTTCTTTTAAGTCAATATTAATTTATGTATTTACTATAACAATTCCACCTATATAGGGTATTAAATTAAAATAGGTACACTATGATAAGAAACAAAACATCATTATCAAATCACAACTCAAATTAAATGTCAAGAGTCATCTCTTTAAATAAATAAACATTCCCCAAAAGTTAAATAAATTTGGATGTTTATTTCCTTAAAAATAAAATTATTTTACTAAATTGTTAGATGGTATGATATTTCATATAGCAATTTGTATAGTAAAACAAATATAAGTACAACATTAATCCTAGGGAGGAGTTATGTGAAAGAATGAGGATGTCAAGAACATCCATGGTTCTTACTATAATTTTAAAATTTTTAGTAGAATGCATTCATGTATCATTAGTATAATTTAAAATAGAATAATTAAAAGGATTTTTAAATCCTTATAGATTGAAATGGTGATATTTTGCAAATTGCAACATCTTTCCTTCCACAGGCCTTCCATTGTCCTTGGAAGTCTTAGTTACTCTACTTACCAGGTCAGGCTCGTATTCTACTCAAACCTAATGTCTTGCTCATAGGGGGCATTCAACCAATGTTTGCTGAACTGTATTGTACCTGGTAATATGGAGAAAAATGACAAATGATCACTAACAAAACTTATAATCTAGACAGACTAAATCATGCTTTAATTTTGAATGAGGAAATTACTAAGTGCTAATGACATGCTCAATAATTACAATGGCAGACACAGAAATTTGGAAGACAGCAAGACAAACACAACATAATGCCAGTGGTGTGGAGGTTTTAAAGCCTAAAACAGGTAGAACCCAAACCAAAATCAATTATTACTGGCTCCCTAAGCCATAAAACCACAAAATTCAACAGGGCAAGAAAAAGAGTAAAAAAGGAAAAAAAACTAATCTGTATTGAGTTTCTGTGTGTCATACACTACATTAGACAGTAATGCAGTTGAAAATTTTAGGACTCAGATTTCAGGTCAGACATGTAAAGCCCTGGAAAGCCAACATTTTCTCCCTTACAACAAGAAAGAAACTAGACAAACTAGAAGGGAACTACTTTCCTTGGAACTATCAGAGAACTAAGGTCACAGAACAAACCACTATCCTGGTATCCGGAGAGACAGGGGCCTGAAAGGAGACAGATTCGAGCATACAAGCCTGTAAATATTAAACTAGAAATTCTGACAAATTACTAGAGGCCAGAGTATGAAGCTCCTGAGTTCCACAAAGGGAGGTTTCCACCTTCTTGTGAGCTTTTCCTCAGGAATTGTGCCAGGCTCTCACAGTGAGGATAAGTGAAAATTCTTACAGAAAGCTCTCATGGTAGTACTGGTAGGCTGAGGAAATCAGCACCCACTGAGAAATCCAATGAACCCCTTTTTCTTTATCTCTGGCACAGAACCAAAGGCTTAATCCTCAGGGGAAGGGCTTTAAGACCTATAGCTTAAGAACACTGGTGGATACCCACTGCAGCTTGGGGGAAAGGAACCAGGGGAAAAAGAAAAAAAAGCTTCTTCATCTCTGGAGGAAGAATAAGAAATCTTGTAAGACCCAGGTTTTGCCTAAGTATCAGGCTTAATCAGATCATCAGAGAACTCTTTCCTCCCCTACCAATCACCACTTGGCAAATCAGCTACCTGGATAAGAATAGCAGAACACGATTGGGTGAGTTGTATAAGGTAGCTCTTATGATGTAGCACAAAGGAAAAACCCAAAGCCACGAAAGAGTCAAAATGAAGTTATCACTAGAGGTACTGGAAATCTCTGGTGCCCATAGCAAAAATAAACATTGAAAAAAGGCCAATTTCTGACTACATTAACACAAATCTTCACACTAAAGGCCTAGGTAAAAGGAACCCATGTTCTTCTCCAAACATATAGAACATTTACCTCAGCATCTCCTGCCTATGGTTAGCTTTTAGTATGTTTATAAAAAAAAGCATAATAAAAGGATAAAAAATACTCCAAGTGACAAAACAATCATCAGATACAAACTCAGCATGATGCAGATATTTGGGACTACTGGAAATGAAATTTAAAAGAATTGGGGCTGGGGATTTGGCTCAAGCGGTAGCGCACTCGCCTGGCATGCGTGCGGCCCAGGTTCGATCCACATACAAACAAAGATGTTGTGTCCGCCAAAAATTAAAAATAAATATTAAAATTCTCTCTCTCTCTCTTTAAAAAAAAGAAATTTAAAAGAATTATGTTTATATATTAAAGACTTTAATGGAAAAAGCAAAGCCAGGTGCAGTGGCATATGCCTGTAATCCCAGCAACTCGGGAGGTTAAGGCAGGAGGATCCTAAGTTCAAGGCCAGCCTCAGAAACTTAGTGAGACCTGAAGAAAATTGGTGAGACCCTATCTCAAATTAAAAAATAAAAAGGCTGAGGATGTGTCCCCGAGTTCCATCCCTGATCCTTGGTACCAAAAATAAAAAGTATGATATGTTAAGACCAGACAGATAATTTTAGCAAACTTATAACAAAGATCAAATGGAAATACTAGAAATAAAATATAGAGTTAAAAAATGGGGGACTGGGGTTGTGGCCTAGTGGTAGAGCACTCGCCTAGCACATGCAAGGTGCTGGGTTCCATCCTCAGCACCACATAAATAAATAAATAAATAAATAAATGTATTGTATCCAACTACAACTAAAAAATTATACACACACACACACACACACATATATACACACACACACATATATAATGGGCTCAAGTGTACAGCCAAGATCAGGTCAATAAAAATTAGAACAAAAAGAGACAAGAGTGAAAAAATAAACAGCATTGAAGAACTATGGGACAAGAACAAATCTGTAATTGGAATCATAGAAGGAGGAAAACAACAGGACAGGAGAATTATTGGAGAAATCAATGGCTAAGAACTTTGCAAAATTAGTGACAGATAAGAAACCAGATGTTTAAGAAGTTCAGAGTGCCAAGTAGGATAAATATGAAAATAAGTTTTTAAAGCCACCTAGGCATATCATATTCAAGCTGCTGAAAATCAAAGACAAAAAGAAATTCTTAAAGGTAGCCAGAGGAAAAAAAAAGACACATTAGCTAAAAAGAAACAAGGATTCAGAATTATAGCAGACTTCTCATGAAAAACCATGCAATAATGGAGTAATATGTTCAAAGGTGGGGAAAAACTTGCCAACATAGAACTCTATATCCTACAAAATGTCCTCCAAAGTGAAGAAAAATGAAAACTTTCTCATACAAACAAAAACATAATTTACTGCCTTCAGACCTGCTCTAAAAGAAATGCTGATGGAAATTCATCAGGCAAGATGGGAAACTGGCATGAACAAAATTAATGAGCACGGAAAAAATAATAAATGGGGGCTGGGGTTATAGCTGAATTGGTAGAGCATTTGCCTTGCATGTGTGAGGCACTGGGTTCGATCCTCAGCACACCTTAAAAAAACATAAAGGTATTGTGTCTGTCTACAACTAAAAAAGAGAATAAATTAATGTAGAATATAACCTTTTATTTTAAAATGTTAGAAAAACTAATTTTCCATGTACTCATCAAAGGACTATCTTGCAAGCAGGCCTTGTAAAGTTAGCAGCCTCAAGCCTAGCCTACTAGGTTAACTGTTTTCTTTACCAAACCAAAACAACAAAAAAAAATCTCAACAGCCAACATTATACTTAATGATGAAGGATGGAAGGCTTTCTAAGAATGGAACAAGTGGTTCTCTCTCACTACTATAATTCTGAAAAAGAAAAAGAAAGCCCGAATACTGATATTACTTGATTTAAAGACTATAAAGCTATAGTAATTAAGATAGTGTGTTAGGACTTGAGTTATGGTTAAGTAGTAAAGCACTTGCCTAGCATAAAGCCCAGATTTCAATCCCCAGTAACACCAAAATACAAAACAAAAAAAACAAAAAATCAGAAGTATATCTCTATGAGGCATTTCTGGTGGGGGGGATGGAAATATTTTTTGTGCAGGAATAGCTCTGACCCAGTCAATTTTGGAAGGAGTCCATGCAAATTCACATTGTCAATACCATATGCTATTTAAAAAAATATTTAGCTGGGCATGGTGGTGTGTGACTGTAATTCCAGCGGCTCAGGAGGCTGAGATAGGAGGATTACAAGTTCAAAGTTAACCTCAGCAATTTAGCAAGGCCCTAAGCAACTAGTGAGAGAACCTGTCTCAAAATAAAAAAATAAAAAGGGGATATGGCTCAGAACCAAAAAAAAAAAAAATCAAAAACAAACCCAACAACAATGAAAAAACAAAACCATTTAGCCAAACACAGTGGTGTATGCTTGTTATCCTAGTGGCTCAGGAGGCTGAGGTAGGAGGATAGCAAATTCAAAGCTAGTCTTAGTAATTTCGTGAGGCCCTAAGCAACTTAGCAAGACCCTGTCTAAAAATAAAATATAAAAAAAGGGCTAGGGATGTGGCTCAGTAGTTGAATGCCTCTGGGTTCAATCCCAGGTACCAAAAAATATTAATTTTTCAAATAGGGAAATATATCCACATAGCTTAAAATTCAAAAGGTATGCATAAAAGTTTATGTACCATCCACTCCCTGGCCATGCATGCCCCCAAATCATCAGTGTCTTGAATGCTCTTCCAGAAAAAAATTTGTCTATATATTTAAAAATGTATGGGCTGGAGATATAGCTCAGTTAGTTCAGTTGGCAGAGCGCTTGCCTCGCATGCACAAGGCCCTGGGTTCAATCCCCAACACCACAAATAAATAAATAAATAGATAAATAAATAAATAATAAAAATTAAAAATATATATTATTGCCCTCATTCACTATTTATTTCACATAAATGTGGCCTACAATACATACTGTTTCTTGCTTTTTCTCACTCTGTACTCCAGGAGATCATGCAATATCAGTGTGATACTCCACTGGGGTATTACAAGCAATATTGCTATTATAAGCAATATTTCAATTAATATGGAAGTATCTGTTGAATAAATTTCTACAGGTATTTGCTGGGTCAAATGATATTCATGTTTATAAATTTTGATGGCTCTTTCCAAGTCACTGACTTTTAAAATGTCAGGGATTTTTAATTTTTAATTTTTATCCTAGGAGGAAATAGAAAAGCTAAGATTCTATCACCAGGTAATTTTCTGGAAGAATGTACACCTCTAAGCTGCATAAAATGAGCCTTGTATTCAACTTTCCTACATGTCCTTTGTAGGATTCAATTGCATCTTTATGTAATACATTTCAGGCCTCCAGCTGTTGTAAAGTCTATGTTAGTTATGTGAAGAATGTTACCTCTGAGATCTTCATGAGCAAAGGTCAAAAGCTGATGCCCCAAATTGGTGGTTCCTGGCCACTGACTTCACAGTACAATGCTGGATTCTTCACTGCAACCACGAGAAAATTTTAAAATCTTGACCAAATACAACATATCTACAGAGATTCCTTTGTTGTTATTACAATGCCCAAAGAAGGATTTCTTAGATAAAAAATTCTAAAATACATAAAGGTTTCAAAGAGAGTTTGAAAATGTTTTCTCTCATCTCTTAGTTGGTAGTTGATTCCCAAATTGTACATCTTTTTTCTTAACTACAAAATCTACTTTATTACACTAGGATTTTTGTGATAAAGGTTGAATGGGGGTTGAGGAAACCCAGAGGTTCCTTTGATAATAGCTACACAAGATTAGTGAGCAGTTTAGCCACTCATATAAGAATATTTATGTTCGGGGGTAGGGTTGTGGCTCAGTGGTAGAGTGCTTGCCTACCATGTGTAAGGCACTGGTTTCAATTCTCAGCGCCACATATAAATAAATGAATAAAATAAAGGACCATCAAAATGTAAAAAAAAAATTTTTAAAAAAGAATATTTATGTTCAATATCACACTGTCAAAAAACAAAAACAAGAGAAAACCACACTGTCTCTCTTTGGCATTCTCCTAGAAAAACTATCACTCTGCTTCATGCTTGGTAGAAGAGAATGTGTTACTAATGGCACGATCATATTACTTAGTTGCTAGAAATCACTAAAATTCAGAAATGGGTATTTAATAAGATTTATCAAAAGTTGAGATCTAACATTATTAATTATTATTCATTACTGTAATACTGGCCCCAGGTTTTTATGCATCTTCTTGTATCCCTACCTTTGAATGGTCCCCTCCTGCAATGACTCTGGGCTTGGCCAGGGAAGTACTTGTGTGCTTTAGCTGATGGAACAATGGCAAACTTGACAAAAGCAGACACTTGAAAAGTACTTGTATACTGGTGCTTGCTCTCACTTGCTACTCTTTGAGACTAGCAATGTTAACAAACCAGCTAGAGGAGACCATGTGGAGCAGAGATAAGTAACTCTAGTTTAGGAACTCCTACTGAGACCAACCAGCCTTCTAACCATCAGATGTGTGAGCAAAGCCATTCTAGATCATCCAGCCACCAACTAACCACCCTCTTCACCTAAAAAGCTAAAAGTAAATTTGTTTGTTGTCTCAAAGTAAAAAAAAAAAATTAAAAAAGGATAGGGATATTGCTCATTGGTTTAAGCACCCCTGGGGTTCAATTCCTGGTACAAAAAAAAAAAAAGGAAATATGTTTGTGGCTCAGTACATATGGCAAGGGGAAGAGAACACTGGTATTTCTGCCATGCAGTTTACTCTATACCTGAGAAATAGTTTCAAATACAAAAACCTCCAGTATCTGGGCTGGGTGCAAACCCAGTGACTCGGGAGGAGACAGGAAAATTGCAAGTTCAAGGTCGGCCTACCAACTTTCCAAGAACCTGTTTCAAAATAAAAAAACAAAAATAAAAAGGACTGGGAATTTAACTCAGTGGTAAAGCACTTCTGGGTTCAATCCCTAGTACCACAAAAACAAAACAAAACAAAAAACTCTAGTACCTGGATGAGAATAAATAAATATGTAAGTATTGAAAAAATGCTTAAGTCTTCCCAGATTCTCACAAATGTGCTGTCTGCCATCACAGATGGCACACATACAAAAAACAAAAAACATGACAAATTTCCATTTAGTCACTGAAGTATCTTTATCATGATATATTTAAACCAAAGTCTTATACTTGACGGTTTCATTTCTAACACTGAACAACAACTCAGGTTTCCAGGAATTCCTTTTTCTCCCAATTACATTTTTTTAACCCATTTGACAGGGGCTTAGTGAAAGCTGAAAAAACTCCCTTAATGTAGCCTAAAAAGCATCTGCTATATAAGCCTAATTAAACCTCTTTCTAGAAGCATACAGAAGGACCAGCTTCTTCTAAAAACACAGCATTTTAGCCATGTCCATGGTGGACACTAAAAAAAATTTAAGCTAGGTGTGGCAGTGCATGCCTGTAATCCCAGAGACTTGGGAGACTAAAGGAGGAGGATCGCAATTTGGAAGCCAGCCTCAGCAACTTAGTGAGGCCCTCGGCAATTCAGTGAGACCCTGTCTCAAAAATTAAAAATAAAAAAGGGGTCTGAATTTGGCTCAGTGGTAAAGCACCTCTGGGTTAAATCACTTGTACTAAAAACAAACAAACAAAAACTTCTTACAACCTACACATTTGGGCCAGAAACTTTGCCTCCATTGGCTCACAAGGTGCGACACCAAAGAAATGAATTACTTAAACCATTTTTGTTTAGGTCTCACCACATGCTTTTCTGGATTAAACACACACATATCATGTGGTTTAAAAAAAAGTGAAAAACATCTTCAGCAGCCTCCCATTGTCCTTGGAATAAAACACAGCTTCATAATGAGGTCCCATAAGGCCCTGTCAATCTTCCCTTGCCTATCTCATCTCTTTCTCTAGGTCCTAGCCAAACCTCTCTGGGTCCTTTCCATGTCTCTTTCCCACCTGCGTGTCCTCACAACACTTGCTATTCCATTTGCCTAGCAATTCCTTCTCTCTACCTTTTACCTTGCTTATTCCTGATCATTCTTTTTTTTCTTCTTCAATATTTAGTTGTAGATGGACAGAATACCTTTATTTTATTTATTTATGTGGTGATGAGGATCAAACCCAGTGCCCCACACATGCAAGGCAAGTGCTCTACCTCTGAGTCACAACCTCAGCCCCCCTGCTCATTCTTGAGGCTCCAAGGACACCTTGTTAGTGTGCCTCACAGAGGAATTCTACCTCTTTCTTACTGTGTGACCTTGGACAAAGTATCTCTGCTTCACCTTTCTAAGCCTCACACCTCAGTGACATAACCTATGTGATTAGCACAAAGGAAATGATTAACAAATCATTGCTGCTGCTGTTATTATCCCATACAATAATCTCCATCATTTCACCTAGTACAATAGCAATTAAAACATTTATTTGTTGAAAAAATAGAAACACTCTCTTGGATCCCACCTTAATGCCTAATATTTTTCATGCGATTTCCCCCACATATGCCATTTTTAAAGGGAAGATGAGATGAATGTTTATGGAGCATCTATTACCTCAATTAATTCTCACTACCACCTTCAGAGATGCGGTTTAGCAGACGAAGAAACTAAGGCAATGTTAAATTCAGAGATGTGGTTTAGCAGACGAAGAAACTAAGGCAATGTTAAATTCAGAGATGTGGTTTAGAAGATGAAGAAACTAAGGCAAAGTTAAATAACTAGTCAAGATCAAAGGTAGAACAAGGATTCCATTCCAAGTTGGCCTGAGGCCACAGCCTGGGATGGATGGATGACACCAAAGGCTTCCAAAACACATGAACCTCATCATCTAAGAGCAGTGGGCCTCAATGAAGACATATCTTCATATTCATGTCCATTCAAATGACTCCCAGATAGCGACTCTTCAGATCCTTAAACACGCTGGTATTCCCAGCACCCTTAGGAACCCCTTCAGTAGAACACTCCTCTCCCTAACTATGAGAAGATTCCTTACTTTCTTTCCATTGGATACTGAGCTCTTAAGAGGAAGAATATTTTTCACCTCTTTTACCCCTAGCAAATAGAATGCACCCAATACTTGTTTGTTGAATGAATTAAATTAAATTGTTAGAGAATATATTATGACTGCAAAGTTGAGGAGTAAATTTTCACAACAATATTAAAATTTGGCATAGTTAGGAAGAAACTTGATAAAAATGGTGAGAAAAGGGGGGTTTAATCTTAAACACTTTTACAACTGATAATGATTTCTATATCTAGCACCAGAGATTCCACATGATTTACAAATGTGTACTTCATAGCTCTAGGGCCCTGCCCCAATACCAATACTCTGCTATACCTGGTGTTTGCATCTGAGACACTTCACAATAGGATGGCCTTGACAAGTACCAATCTCTCAATGGTTACTCTCAAATGATTGGGGAAAAGAAACAGCAATTGACAAAGCAAATAAAATCAACTGCTGATAACGGGTGACCTTGGGTAAAGGGAATACAGTAAGTTTTTTGTACCAATCTTGCAACATTTTTGTAATTATAATGTTTTATCAAAAATTGTTTTTAAAATCTAAAAAAGGATAATATTAATAAATTTCCCAGGAAATTCCAGCACACAAGGTCCAGTGTATTGGCCATGCTGGTACCATATTCTCTTATTAACTGTTTCAAAAACACATTCCAGTCTCATGTCTATCAGGCAGTATCAAGAGAAAGGAGCTCCTTGAGTAGCAGGGCATAACCATGACTTCTGGGTTGGAACAGAGATTAAATTATTGCTACTTTCAAGTATTTATGAACTCACAGGTGTTTCCTATTGGTCAAAACCCCAGTACAATTTCCCCATACCAGGCCAATTATTTTCTTTAAGGCATACTAGAACCCCCCAGGACCCTCAGGGGCCTGTCATCATCCTCAGAGGGACAGCCCTCTGAGTTCTTACCTTCCTTTTCCCAAGCCTAGCTAAGGGATCAGGCATGTTTTTTCTCAGGACCCTTCTTTCTTGCCCAACATAAGCACAGAGACAGTGGCAAGAGCTTTGTTGTTACTGTCTATGGAAAGACCTATAGGGAGGAAGCAAAAATAACCATGGGGAATTCACAAAGATTGTAGAAAACAGAAAACTCAAAGCAGTATTACTAGCTCTGTAATGACCACTTGACAGCAACATCTAATTCAAAACTTCTAACCACTCATGCCAGATCCTTCCCAACCTACAAACCAGAATGCTTTAGCTTTCTCAGATACTGTAACTGGAACAACAGAAACTTGTGAGCCATTCCTGTGTCCCAGTTTCAGGAGAGTTCCAGGGCTGGGGATGAAGCTCAATAGTAGAGTGCTTGCCTAGCATGCACTGGGCCCAGAGTTCAGTTCTCAGCACCAGAAGAAGAAAAGAAATTGCCAGGACAGTGTCAGATATGGATCACCAAACACCCACCTCTCACCTACAAAATAATGTAAATAAAGTTCATAGCAAATTATTCCCAATGAGAGGTTTTCTTTTTTTCTTCTTCATTACTTTGCAGTGCTAGAGATCAAACCCAAGGCCTTGTACACACTAGGCAAGTGCTCTATCGCTGAGACACATCTTCAGCCCAAGATTTTCTCAAATGTAAGTTAGCATGTGACTTCTATTTTTCTTAGCTCCTGTGTTGTACAAGCTCCATGAGAAGGTAGATACATTATGCACCATGGTAATGTTCAATCTCATTTTTAAAAATATTTATTTTTTAGCTGTAGTTGGACACAATACCTTTATTTTGTTTATTTATTTTTATGTGGTGCTGAGGATTGAACCCAGGGCCTCGCATGCTAAGTGAGCGTTCTACCACTGAGCCACAACCCAAGCCCCCTCAACGTCATTTTTACTCTGATTCTCTGCACCCCTGATCAAGGCTTGTTAAAGAGAGCATATCTTCAAAAACACCTGATGCATGATGCTTCCTGACTCTTCCCGCAACTCTTTCCCCCAACAAGATGCTTGCTTAGTTCCAGGGAAGTAATAAAGAAGAGATGGCTTTATGTAGTTTAGAAGAGAAATGGGGGGGCTGGGGATGTGGCTCAAGCGGTAGCGCGCTCGCCTGGCATGCGTGTGGCCCGGGTTCGATCCTCAGCACCACATACAAACAAAGATGTTGTGTCCGCCGAAAACTGAAAAATAAATATTAAAAATTAAAAAAAAAAAAAAAAGAAGAGAAATGGGTTGTTAAAAATTGGTGGAACACAAGAAAGAAAAGATAAACCTTATTAAAGAGCTGGGTATATAATGTCTGTAATCCCAGGGGGTTAGGAGGATGAAGCAGGAAGGATCACAACTTCAAAGCCAACCTCAGCAACTTAGTGAGACTGTCTCAAAATAAAAAGGGTCTCACTAAGTTGCTGAGGGCCTTGCTAAGTTGCTAAGGCTGGCCTCGAACTCGTGATCCTCCCATTTCAGCCTCCTGAGTCGCTGGGGTTACAAGGTGTGCCA